TATAGGACTACTATAACATGTAGATGTGCACCTCGTATTTTGGCTGCAATCGGCCGCACCAAACGTATATATGTTACCGTGAAAGACCGAAATTGGAGAATGTCGACTTTCACCGGAGAATATCAACATTCACCAAATACGTCGGTGAAAAATCGAGTATTGCACTACATTCTTGTATATTCGGACCCTCACCGGTGTATGTCGAAAATCACAGATATGCTCTGGTGAAAGTCGAAAAGAGAGATCATAAAGTGCCATAATAGTTTAAGTTGTTGCAATAAATAAGATTTGAATCACATAATTTAGTAAGTTTTTTATTACTGTTATTTTATTTTCTCATTTAGAACGTACTGTATAATTAAGTAAGTTTTTAACTTCTATTATTTTCCTTTCTCATTTTGAATGTATTGTGTGTTTTAGGTTCTCATGTTAAGTTCTTATTCTTATAAGTTATTAATTAAGTCTCAAGTGCGTTTATTCGCGACTGAATTACGGAGAAGAAAATATAATATTGTTATATGTTCAACATTCACCATTAGTACATGGTAGAATGTCGACATTGACCGGTGTAAGTCAGAAATAAGAGTATTTGGAAAATATTTCGGACATACACCAAGAGACTATGTGAATGTTGACATTCACCGGTGAAAGTCGACATTCTCCAGATTTCGGTGTTTCACCGTAACATATTTTATATATTTATATATATATCCACTCTGTTACCCGGCTCAGTGATCTCAGTTTCTTTACACTTATATGTTTGTAAATTGTACATTTTTTGCTTTAAAAATGATTGACTTATGTTGTTCTTATCTTCCGGTTAAGGTTTTTATGCCTTTAGTAAATCTCTATGCAATGTTTTTAGAATTATCAACAATTTTAAAGTTGTGTAAGTTCGCTAAGCCTAATAATTTTTTTGATGGCGGCCATTGCTTGTTTACATTTGAAACAGCAGAGTAGTGGATTTGTTGCCAATCTAGAGAAACGTAGCTTCGCAACAACAAAGATAACGCCTTCATTTATTATTGCGAATTAAATCATGCTTAATCCTTTCTGGAATTTTTTGAAGAAATAAGTAATTAAGAAGAAAATACAGATATTTTGAGTTTTTATGTATTTTTGCATTGTCGCGAAGTGAGAACTGAATTAATTCAATGAGAAATACTCAATCGTCTGTGAAAAAAAACTGTTTCTTTTTTGTTTTGTTTGCTTAATTGCTTTTATACATCGTTCTAGCTTTATTATAGGATTTGAATAGAACATGAGGCAACGATTAGATAATTCTTTAAATGATATAAATTTTGTGCATTCTGTGTTTTATAATATGAACGAAATATAATACTGTTAAGTGAATCTAGCGCCAGAGTGTCGCTATGGTAAACAAATAGAGTGAATTTTAAAGAATGCATTTATTCTATTGTGGTTTATGCGCTGTCGGCGAAGTAGATTTAATTCAATCCAATAAGTTTAAACGAAATGCAAGAAAAAATGCGTATAATTTAATATTCCGTACAAGGAAGTCATGTGGTGTACACATCAGATTTTTATAATAAGGTAACATGCGCTAAAACAGTTTTTGAATAGAAAGAAACCGCTCGCGCGCTATTGGGCTTTCTCAGCTTACGAAATATGTATTTTAAGTTGGTTATTTACATAACAGAAGAACAAAATACAGATTATAAATAGTGCATTTTACTGACAAAACTTTCTTTGAAAAAAAAATAAAAGTACTGCAAAGAATAAGAGATATAGTTAACTTAACGGCGGCCGATAATCAGTGCTGGTGCATATGTTTTTGCAGAGAAAATCATTTTGCTCGTGCTGTCGTATAACAAAAAATATCCATAGATTATTTTTTACAGTTGTTAAAATAGTCCTGGACTATCTGTTTTAAGAGAATACCTTCTTGGAAAATTTTCAAATTGAAATTGGCTTGAACTCGCATAACGCATGGGAAAATTATAAAGACACCAAGCCGCTAACTTGTTTGGTTGCTAGCGACAAATCCAGAACAAACATCAACATCCAGTACTCTTATTCACTCTAGTGAACGTAAATATTTGTTTGTATATTAGTAATAGTATTAAAATAAAAATATTTATTCTAATAAAAGCTGTTGTTCAAAAAAATACACCCTTGTAAGGCATTTTCTTTGGTTAAGGGACTTCATGTGAATAATTAATTCTACGTTGAAGCAAGACAATTTCTTAGAACTTAATGCTTCAAACAATTAAAGGCTGGGATTCCTAGGGAAGAAAATATCCTCAAAAAGTATATTCCACAAAAAAATATTGAATTATAATCTTATAATGACTTATTAAATAATTAATAATTGTTATAATTATTAAATATAAATGCTTACTTATTTTTTTACAAAATGTACAATAATACCCTTTATTTACAAAAATACCATATTGGACAACAATTAGATTATATGCTAATAAAATAACAACATTGTATTGTTTCTTATTAACTATGTTTGATCTTTCCGTCCTACTATGTGCTTGACACACCCTATGTGTCAGCTTTCTGTTATAGGATAATGTTTTTAATTCCTATTTCAGACAAAGTGTACTGGTGTTTCAAGGACGGGAAGGCAAGAATTTTTAAATTCAGTCAATAAATTTATGATCAACTGAAAATTCATAAAGAAAAACTATTTCAGGTTAAAATTCAATTTCAGAATATCTTGAATGTATATAAAAAAAGTGAAATGCAAATTTGACACTGATATTATCACTGTTTCAGCCTTAAAGGAAACTCCAAAAACGTTTAAACACGTCTTTAGCAGTTAAAGGGTTAACAATTTCTTTGCCGTTTGTACTGAACGCTCTGCTAATCCGTTCGACTGTGGATGGTATGGACTGCTTGTTATATGTTTAAATTGGTATTTCTTTGCAAATTCTTCAAATTCTTTACTTGCAAACTGAGGTCCATTATCAGATATCACTATCAATGGTATACCGTATCTTGCAAAATGAGATTTCATGTAACTGATCACTGTCTGACTTCGAGTATCCGGTAGTTTGGAGATTTCAAAAAAGTTGGAATAGTAATCTACAATTAATAAATATACATCTTTGTTAATCTCAAATAAATCTGTCGCAACTTTATACCAAGGTAAATTGGGAATTTCATGTGGTATCATAGGCTCTCTTATGTTTTTGTTCTGGTATTCATTACATATAGAACATTTTGAAATTTTATCTTCTATCTGCTTGTTCATAAGTGGCCAAAACAAAACATCTCTAGCTCTTTTCTTACATTTTTCTATACCAAAATGACCCTCATGAATTAAATTTAACATTTCCTTTTGCATAGATAAAGGAATAATTACCCTTCCTCCTTTGAAAAATAAGTCATTTTCCATTGTCAACTCATCTCTGTAGTCCCAAAATACTTTGACTTGAGGTTCTACCTGATGTTTCCTTTCTGGCCAGCCTCTCAGAATATATTTCTTTAAGCACTGTAGTGTAGCATCACATTCACTTTCTTTCTTCAATTCATAAATTTTGTCATCAGATGCTGGAATCAGTGTACAAATTTCTGTATCTTCATCATTATCTTCTTCTGTTGTATTCAAATATGCTCTACTCAAAGTGTCTGCTATTAATAAGTCTTTCCCCTTTTTGTATCGTACATCTAGATCATATTTTTGTAAATTTAACAGCATTCTTTGCAATCGCTGTGGTGCTTTAAAAAGAGGTTTCTTAGTTATGCTTTCTAATGGTCGATGATCAGTTTCAACTGTAATACGTTTGCCATATATATATTGATGAAATTTAGAACATCCAAAAGTAATAGCTAAAAGCTCTTTTTCTATCTGAGCATAATTTTTCTGACTTTTTGTTAGAGCTCTAGAAGCATAAGCAATTGGTTGGTTTCATTGTAGTAAAACAGCACCTAATCCTTCAGAACTTGTATCTACTGAAAGAGTTACATCCTTATTAACATCATAGAATTTTAATACGGGTGCTTTTGCAATCAATTCTTTAAGTGTTTCGAAAGCTTTTTGATGCTTTTCAGTCCAGTGCCAGAGAACATTTTTCTCAAGTAACTGTCTTAATGGTGCAGTAATAGTAGTTAAGTTAGGAATAAATTTGGCTAAATAATTAATCATTCCCCAAAAATCTTTGTAGCGAAGGCACATCTGTAGGTTCTGGCATTTTAACAATTGCTTCCACTTTAGAAAAATCAGGTTTTAGTCCATTTTCACTTAACCCGTGCCCTATATAATTCACACGATTAACTTTTATTTTACATTTATTTTACATTAACCTTATTGAACTTCAAATTATTTTCTCGTGCTCTCTGGAGTACTTTTTTAAGTCGTAGCTCATGTTCCTTTTCATTAGATCCCCATATTAAGATATCATCTATAATACATTCAACGCCTTCTAGACCTTCTATTATTTGGCTTAATTTTCTTTGGCAAATTTTTGGAGCTGAACATATGCCAAACGGTAATATTTTAAATTTGTATCTGCCAAAAGGTGTATTGAATGTACACAAATTACTACTTTCTTCGTCAAGCTGGATTTGCCAAAAAGCACTATTAGCATCTAAAACAGAAAATATTTTTGCGTTAGGCATTCTAGTGACAACTTCGTCAATGGTTAACATAATGTTCTCGTTTTATAGCTTTATTTAAATCTCTAGGATCTAAACATATTCTTATTTTGTTCGGTTTGACAACTGTGACCATTGAATTTACCCATTCAGTTGGTTCTCTTACTTTCTCAATAACATTTAAATTTTCCATTCTTTGTAATTCTTTCTTAACTTTATCACGTATAGCTATGGGTATTTTTCTTGGAGGATGAATGACTGGTGTTACATCTTGTTTTAACTGGATTTTATATTCTCCATTCAAACAACCTAAGCCTTCAAATACATCTTTGTATTCCTCCAGTAAGTCTTCAGTGTAAACAGACATTACTTTCTGAATTAAACCTAGTTGCAAACATGGTTTTAATCCTAATATAGAAGGTACTTCTTTGTCAATAACTTGTTAATTCCACAACATAATTATTTTTTCCGTATTGGCAGTTAAGTACTACTTTTCCTAAAGTATCCATTTTATTCCCAGAGAATGTAACTAATCTTTCAATTTCAGACTTCTGTATCGGAGCATTTAGCAATTTCACTTTGCTTTTAGAAATAACATTGCACATTGCTCCAGTATCTAACTGCAAATTTAGTTTACTTTTATTTACATTAACGTCAACAGTCCATTTCTCTTCCTTGTTATCTGAATTAAGGTTTAATGTGCCAACATAAAATTCTAACTCTTCCTCAGAGTCATGATTTATTAATTTAATTTGTCTATCTTTTTTGTTTACCTTGACTGCTTCATTTTTTATTATATTGCTTTTACACTGACTCGCGAAATGATTTGCCTTTTTACATTTATGACAGATTTTTCCATATGCTGGACACATTCGATACTCATGAGATGTTCCACATTTAGAACAAATTTTTGTCTTTTGTTTATCGGTATTTACCTCTTTGTAAGTATTCTTATTATGTTTACTTAGTTTCTTTTTCACTAAGTTTACAGCAGTTTCCTCATCTTTTATGATTTTCATTTGATGTGCACTTATTTCAGCAGATCTGCATATATCAAGAGCTTTTTCTAATGTTAATTCTGTTTCATGTAACAATCTTGCTCTCACTACATCATCTTTAATACCACAAACAATTTTATCCTTTATTAAACTATCCTTTAATTGTGCAAACTCGCATGTTCTAGCTTTATTTCGAAGGTCAGTTACATATTCATCTATGGTTTCTGACGCGGTTTGATTTCTAGTAAAGAATAGTCTTTCATATATAATATTTTTCTTAGGAATACAATATTCCGTACATTTTGTTTTAATTTCACTTAATTTAATTTCTTTACCCTCTTCTATAGGAAATGTATTATATATTTCAAGACCACAAATCCCTATTACATGAAGAAAAGTATTAACTCTTACCTTCTCTTCTTTATTATGTAATCCACTAGCTACTTCACATATTTCAAATGATTGCAGCCATCTCTGCCAATCCGAAGCTAGATTTCCATCAAATTTCATCGACTCTGGTGGTTTTAAACTTTCCATTTTGAAAGCAAAACACTCCTGACATCATATAAAATTATGAGGGTACACTTTTAGCTTTTAGAAACTATTTATTTAAAATCTTAGAATGTATAATCACAGAGAACTGCAATACCAACATAGTTCTATTTTCAAATCTGTATCCAAAGTGTTGTCAATTACAAGTTACTAAATATTAAATGTTACCATTTACAAATTATTAAATATTACATCAACAAGCAAAGCACTTAAAATAAAAAAAGACATTTGTAATAGAAATATTAGTATTCTATATGTATTATAGAAAATACATGCAATGAATAATACCATGACCAAACATTTCAAAAGAAAAAAATGAGCTGATTAAGTATTATCTACCCCCCCAGCAATCCTGTCATATAACATGTAGTTAGCTTTTGATTACATGATATTACAAGCATTTTCTTTAGATTTGTCCTACAAGTGGTTACAACGACTGAACAGATAATGCCCACAACAATAAAAAATAAACGTTTAATTACTTTTCGATCACAACATTCTTCACAAACTACGTAGTATTGTTAAACATAAATACCGATTTTTAATGTTTCCAACCTTTAGCGACTAGATGGTGTATCAGAACGCTGGAATCGCGGATGATATGTTATTAAGGAAACAGTAAACGCAGTGATATTTTACTGCAGTCGCTAATTGCACCGACGGTCCGAATAGCCTCAGGCTATTCACACCTTCTACGTTAGCGCATGCGCACAATCAGTCCAGGTACAAACATTTACGTTGATTTGCCGTGAGACAGACGGTAGCGGGAGCGAGGGTTGTTAACAGTTTCTGCTTATCTTCCTTGCATGCTATTTCTTTGTTAATTAATTTTTAGTTATTGTTACTGAAATTTACGTGTTATTTGTTTAACATAACTTAAGGACGATGGATGTGACAAAAACAAATTTTTTGCCTTTTGAATGTGGAAACAAGTTTTCCACATATTTTAAATTTGAAAGGGCAAAAAAAAACTGTATGAAAATAAAAAATTTACTGTTTTGATTAAAACAAGATCGCAAAATTTCACGAGGGTCATAAACATCATGAAACGGTGTTTATGTACGCACTATCGAATGTACACTAATGTACACTAATCGAATTACCGAATGGCGCCGTCTACGCATCTAACAATGAATCTAAGACGTATCTAAATGCCACATCTAAATTTCTGCAAGCGGCGGTTCGGTTATAATTTTATGATCAAACACTCTATCTAGTTTTAAAAGATTTATTAAATACTAAACAAATTATTCTAATCTAGAATCGAATCTAATGTTACATCTCAAGAGCAGCGTTCGAGCTGCGTCATAACCACGGAGTATAAATCATAACCACGGAGTCGACTCCGTGGTCATAACAAATCGAAAGTCAAGTTCTCACTGTTGCCATTCCGAGGGAAAGGAAAGTTTGTTTCTAATCAAACCAGAACATCGGCAGAGAAAAGTTCCTAGTCAAACCGGAACAAACGGTATTGTGCAAATATGTTACCTTCGTGTGTGTAAGAAAGGGCACATTCATAAACAGTCATCATAAAAAGTTATATTCTTACTTATAAGAGATAAATTCTTTTATTTAACATAGAAACTTTTATGCAAACTTAGACCCTAGTCTTATAGCATAGAACTGCGAGAATTTATTATTCAATAATAAAACTTATTGAAAATCATAATGTTCTTATATATGCATCACTTTTTCAGTGCCCACACATGCTTATAAGTTCAAATGAAATATTTCAAAATCAAAATTATTCATGAAATAAAACCTTATAAAATCTGATAATTCATTTGAGTGTGCAAATTTGTCAATCTAAATCTCTTACATTTATTGTCTTTTAAATTATATCCCATTATTTATTAAAATTTAATTTATTAATGTGTTTGTAGTATTATTTCCTTTGGAAATATTTTTTGTGTTCTGAAAATGAAGACTATTTCCATAGGAAAATTGAACAGGCATACAAAATTGTTAATAATCAGTATTATATGACTAATTGTTAATTTAGTAGTTTATTTTGTTGCTTTTAACTTATTTCATGTCTAAATTTTCTACGCAGACATACTCTGTCTAATTTTTATCACCTTTTCTCAGATGAACAATTTCAAAGAGAAATGAACAAAAATCTTGATTGTGCAAAACACATATTTGAATCTAAATGTATTCTAAGAAGTACAAAAAATGTAAAAGAGGTTTTAGTCCCCTCTTTCCCAAAATCAGTCATTTAAACTATTCCAACCGTTCGGGAGAACGAACAGCTGGAATAGTTTATGCGAAAATAAAAGTCTGCCCTTTTTTATATATACATAAATAAAAGAAATGCGTTCCCTCTTTATATATATATAAGAAAAGGAACACATTTCCCTTTCTAATCTTTTGATATTCGCTAACGCTTAAAAATGGTAAACTACGTCAAAGTAGTAACCTGCCTTTAAAAAAAAGAGAGAGACTCACTACAACAGACTTGGCAGTTCGCGTACTTAGGATTCCTTCTTTTCGATTTGGTTCAAATGACGGATCCGACAACTCAAAACGTATGCGTGGTTAATGTTGGTGCAAATAGCTGAAACGGCTAATCGCACCCCTGGTGCCAATAGCATCGGCTATATTTTACCTGCTACTACGAAGCATCGGCCATATTTTACCTGCTACTAACTACGAAGCATCGGCCATATTTTACCTGCTACTACGAAAAATCCCTTAGCAGGGGAATAGTATCACGGCTGTCTCCTTAATGTAGGTCATTGAATGACAGCCGTACTCTGATCTACCATAATAATCTTTTCTTGACTACTTAATATCTTCCTAGTCTTATGTCAAGGCTATCCTCCGAAGAATATCTGATAATGATGCAGAAGTAAAGTTTGGTAATTAGGCTAACCATAGTTTAATGACAAAAAAGAGAGGACAGTAGGATACTAAAAACGAAACGAAGGCTAATCATAACAAAGAAAGATAACAGAAAAAAGATTTCGTTAGCCAAAATTTTTGGTTTATCATTATTCTTCAGTATGTGAGCTAGCTCAATTCTACTACCTCGTGCTACTTGGATTGCAGTGATATTGATTAGTATTTGTGAGTGTCTGTGGTCGCATTTTCACTCTGGAGAATAATGACTGTCCTGAAATTTCGGGCTGTGACCCCAATGATTCAGATTTGGACGATAACTGTGATATGACTCCTGTGGATAAAGATTTACTTCTAAAGGACTAACTTACTAAGAACACTTATGATGAGGTGGGACTTAAGAAACGCTGAGGACTTCCTCAAGTTTCCAACCAACCCATTCGAAACGAACTTTATTGGTTTCGAAGTTAAATTAATGATTGCAATGGGAAATTATCTTAAGGAGAATCCTGACAAGGACGTCAATCTGAATTGTGAGATGCTATGCGCTCAGATCAAAGAAATGAATGCGCAGCTGAATAACATTAGAAGCAAGTGTGAGATTTTAAGTGTTCATAACAAATCTGCATTATGTGAAACTATGTTAAAATTTATAATGTTCTTAGTGCTGACAATATTATTTGTAATGTGCCTAGTAAAAGTAAGGATAAGTCTAATAGTCACGTGTCTCTACCTAGTTGCAGTAAGGCTCCTGTTGTTGTAAAGGTTAAAAATATCAACTATTCTGATGTCGTAAAAAGTGGCATTGTCATTCAAAATGTGAGTGTGACTAGTGCTTATACAAATGTTAAAACGAAAAAACATACAAATACAGCGAATAGTAAGGACGGATTTACCTCACCTCGGAGGAGTGCCCACCCAAAAATGTCAGTAAACAATTTTTGGATGTTGATGATAGCAATAAATCCGATATACTTCGTTAAGTTAATGCCAACGTCGAATAATAAGGCTAGTGTGCAAGATAATGCGCTGCCTCGAGCGGAAGTTCCAGTTACTAGGATTAAGTCTATTATCGTGATACCTACTTTAAATCTAAAGATTTTGTTAAAAAATTATCTCAGGAAACGAAGTCTATTATCAAGTCTAAAAACTAAGTTTATTATGATTAGAATATCCGAGGAGTTTCTGAAACTATTTCCACTAGTGAGAATGATCACAAAGGTTTTTATTTGAGAACAATGTTTAGCATTATCTTGTACATCCTAAAAAGGTCAGACTCCTTAAAGTTGTGATTAGGGCTATTCCAGCTGATTGTACTTCGGACGAAATAAAAGATGAACCAATTAGTGATGGATATAACATGCTCAAGGTGGCACAGATGATAAAATTCAAAACACGTGTTGCCATGCCTATGTTCCAGCTCCAGCTCGTAAATGAACCGGGTGTTGAAAATATCTACCATACGGAAAAATCCTATCTTTCCTTAAAGTCACTATCGAGCAATGCAAATTTAAAGTGGGGTAGCCCAAAGTTAGGGTAGTTTTTTTATCATTCCTCGGACGAGTGTAAACTCGCTCCGAGGTGTGTAAAATGTGCTTCTTCCGGAGTTCGGATTGCTAAGCAAAATGGATCGAAAAACTCACCTATTGCAACTGTGGCGTCGAATATGTCGCCAACGTTTTCCAAGTGCCCTAAAAATTCAATGAATATAGTACGTAGAAAACATTCTAAGAAAATTTTTGACTCTAGCTAAAACAACTCTGCATGACGTGGCGAGGAGTCACGGGTAAACAAAAAAGCACGAGAAAAAATCGCTGATGATATTGCTCCTCTTGGTGATAAATATGGACCAGAAGAAAGGAGAAATGTCGCCAGTGGTAGGTTATTCTCTTCTGAGAGTCCAAAAGTCTCAGTGAAGAAAAATACTAAAAGTTCCCATAGCATATCTGCTACTTTCGCAGATATGCTTAAAGTTTAGAACGAAATTAAGGCTATCTTTTCCGAATTTTTGATTCTTGATGCAATCAAAATTATCACTAGTAGACTTAATGAAATAAGGGAAGCCTCTAGTTCTATTGACAAGATGATTGTATTATTTAGTATGCTTGAAGAAATTTTCAGTGGGGGATCTTCGGGGAGCTTCA